TAATTGCCATTTGAAAAAATTTAATTTTTTCAATTTTTCTTTCTTACATTGGGGAAAAAGTTTTCTTTGAATATTTTTATTTATCATAAAATAGTGAATTTAACCTCCTATTTTTATTGGAATATTTTATTCAATTTCAACAAAATGATCGAACAATATTTGGGAACTAAAGAAAATATATTGGGGAACACCAGTTTTTATATTTGGAGAATTTAATTCTTTTATTTAAAAATTGCTATAATCATTGTTTTTAAATTGGATTAAAAAAATTTAATAAGAGAAAAATCATTTTTATTTATATTTTTAAAATAAAGCAATGGTTTCTGATATATGTATAAATATATTTATTTTCAATAATAGACGATTTAAAAATATATGACTGTTTTTTAAGAAAAAAAACAACTAGTCATAGGAAAATATAATTGAAAAAAATATTTTTTAAAATTAATTATGACATTGAAAAAAATGAAATCTTGAAATCAATGAAAGAATATATATTATAATTATATATGCAATATATAGAGAAAATTTCGACAAAAGAAATATAACGAAGATTAATAATGAACTTTTTTTGTATTGATGTTTTTATTATTAAACAGATTTGGAAATAAATAAATTTTATTGGAAAAAAAAAAAATTAATTTTAAAAATGAATTAAAAATTTTCTGAAAAAAATTTTAAATATGTTGTCTTTACATTTTAATTTATAAATATTATTTTAAATTTTAAAATTTTAAATTTAAAAAAAAAAAACAAAAAAGAAATTTTTTTTTAAATAACTACCAAAATTTCAAAAATTGATAAACAGATTTATGAAAAAAATTGTAAAATAGAAAGAAAAATATTTTTTAAAAAATATGTACATTTTTTAAAGATAAATTCCAAAATAAATCAAATATGCATATTTTATAATGAAAAAAAAAACTTTTAGAACAAAAAAAAATTTTTGTAGAATGATGTTTTAAAAAGAAAAAAAATTTAAAATTATTAACAGTTAAAATATTTTTAAAATTGGAACGTGCATATAATGTAAAATATTCAACGTTTATTTTAAAAATATGGTAAAAGAAATTTTAAAATTTGAAAATTTTTGAGGTTCATTAAATTGATTGAATTTTTTATTTTTTAAAATCTATTGTTAAAAATGACAAGATTATCTTTTATATATATAAATATAATTTTGCCTCGAAAATTCATTGATAATTTTTTAAAAAAAAAATTTTATTTTCTGTTTTAAATGAATTTTTAAATTTTTACAAAAAGGAAAAAAATTTTTTCGTGGACAAATGCATTACAAAATGCAGAACTTAAAATAAATATTTCAAAAACACTTTTTTATAACTTTCATTTTTCAATTATACAAATATAAATTTAATAAAACATAAAATTAAAAAAAATAAACAATTTTAATCATTTTCATATAAAAAAAGAAAATATTTTATTTGATTTAAAAAAAAAAAATCAATTTTTTTTGAAAAATTGAAACACCATTGAAAAATATTGTATTTATTGGAATCAATTTAAAAAATTGTATTAATCAAGATCATTTTTATTCGATATGTAAAAAAAGATGAGGACATTTTATATTTAAAAATAAAATTAACATTAACAATTTATGATATTATATTAATTATATATATATATATATATATATATATATATATATATATATATTTTAAATAAAAATATAATAATTAAAATATACATTTCATTTTTAATTTTTTATACTATGTCACGAAAATAATAAACAAAACAAATCAAATAATAATATAAAGAAAGTATATCAAAACTTTAACACTCATATAAATATACAATTTTATATAAAAATTTGATTGAATTAAATTATACTTATTTAACAATTTTAAATAAAATTATTACCAATTTTTAATTATGAAAATATTTTTCAACAAATTAAATAAATAACAATATAATAAATTTAAAATTAAAAAATATAATACGGCGCATTTTTAATAAAAATTCTCATTAAAGTACAAGGAATTATTTGAATTTATTTTTTTTTTGTCTTTATATTTTATTTATATCTTAAAGGTAAAATGGTTTATTCAATATAATTTAAAAAATCAAAAAAAAAAATAAACAATATGGACGATATGTCCCAATTAACATTTGTTTGTGCAATAGATAAAAAAAAATTATCAGTATAAAATTTAACAAAACAACATATATATTATTCAATGAAATATATTTGAATGAAGATTGAAACTTTATATATTTTATACATAATATATATATATATATATATATATATATATATATATATATATATATATATATATATATATATATATATATATATATAATATACTCGTTTCAAAAAAAAACCTTCGAATTTTTGATTTGCCAATAATCAAATCAATCTCGAGGGAAAAAAAGTTTTTAAAAAAAGAAAGAGCTAGAAACATGAAAGTCTGTAAAAAAAAAATCGCACAGATACAGGTTTAAAGCCCAAAAAAAAAACCCCGATACGTAAAGTAAACAA